ATACACACACACACACACATATATATATGTGTGTATGTATATGTATATATATATATATATTTTTATTTTTTTACTTTGTTTTCATTTTAATTTAAGCTGAAGTTTTAGAAATTTAGTTTTAGTTTTTTTATATGTCTGTATGTTTTTTATTTATAGAATTTTTTTATTTCAGTTTTAGTTATTTTAGTTATTTTCAGGTTAAGCTAATTAAAACTTAGAAATAAAAAAGCTGAAATAAAAAAAATAAGAAAACTTTTATTTTGGATGCGATTAATCGTTTGACAGCACAATTTTTTTGTTATTTTAGTTACTTCAAGTTCAACTAAATGAAAATAATAAATAAAATATCTGAAATAAATAAGTTTATGGTTTTTTAAATATTTTAATTAGATTTTATTTCAGTTAATTTCTAGTTTCAAGTAACTGAATTTCTATGTAATTTTATTTCAGTTTTGGTTTCAGTTATTTTAGTACATAAATGTTAATCTAAATGAAGATGAGAAATGATCAGTTTAAGATTTAGTTATGTTATTACTTCGTTAAACTTGACACTAAGCTTGGCAGTTCGCTGAAATAAAATAAGTTTAAGTTTTATATATGTGCTATATTTTATATATATATATATATATATATATATATATACACACAGTTAAAATAAGTTCATGTTTTTTAAATATTTTATTTCAGTTAACATTTCAAGTAACAATTTTTAAGTTTAGTTTAAGTTTTTAGTTTTAACGGAATTTTATGTCATTTTATTTCAGATTTAGTTATTTTAATATTTCAAATTAAACTAAATGATAATGAGAAACGTTGCCTTGGCAGCTAGCTGAAATAATGTTTTAAAATATTTTATTTAAGTTCAAATTTGTTTTATTTCAATTAATGAAAATGTTTTGTTTTGTTTTTTAGGTGCATTTTTAAAAATATAAATGTTAAGTTTTTATATAAAAATTGTATTCATATTAGTTATTTAATATAAAATAAAAAAAAAGTTTTAATTTAGTTTTTCTTAAAATGCATTTTCAATTAATTTTATGTTATTTTTAGTAAATGATAACAACCCTAAGAAGTTCCAAGACACAGAATGCAGTCTGCAATGCAAATAATTCCGTATTAATTATTTAACATTAAAAATAATTACAAAGCTACATAAATACAACGAGCGCCTCACCTGCATGTAAGCGTGGTTGGTGGGATGCAGGTCGTCTCCCAGCGGGTTCGGGCAGCTCCCCTCGCAGCGGTACGCGTTGTACTTCTTGGGGAAGACGATCCAGGAGCCCCATCCGATCTGATTGAAGTCCACATGCATGTCGACCCTCCTGCACTTCTCAGCCGGACCCCGGAGTGGCTCCGGGTTCCTCACCGGCTGACCCCTGCGGCCCCGCTTGCTCCTGTGTGGCTTGTCTCTCCGCACCTCCTTTCCTTCGCTGTTAAAGAAGAACTTGGACTTCTCTGCTGTGTGCAGGAGACTGGCTCGGTCCTGCTCGCTCTGTCCAGAGACGGTGTGTGAGAAGACCAGCAGCATGGCTCTGTGACGGATCCCGTCCGCAGCTTTGCTCCCGGAGTGAAGAGCGTGTCTCGCGGCAGCTTTACACCCGGAGTGAAGAGCGTGTCTCGCGGCTCTCCTCTCGGAGAGTTTGGGGCCGATCCAGTTTAGGAGCAGGTCTGTGGCGTTGTAGACCCTCCAGTGATGGGAGACGCTCATCAGAGAGGAATCGGACAGTCGACCCAGGGACTGGTCCTGCTGGTGTCGGATCTCCACCGTGATGTTCGCTTGCTGCGTTTCTTTGGGAATACGAATCCTCAGCTCCGCCGCCTGGATCTGACGCTCGGACAGAACTGAGGAAAGATCGAAGTGTGTGACGTAGTGTGTGTCTTGATTGGTCAAACCTGGA